TTTGCAAAGTTTCGAAACATTTGACCGAAAGCCACTTTCCATAAGAATTCCGCGGGGTCCTTTAGTAAAATAATTTATTTTTGTGTGTAAAATACATTCTGAGAAGGAAAATCGTCGCTCATGTCTCGTTTTTTTTAATTTAATTTCAAAATTTTATGATGTCGGTAAGTAGCAAAATGATAATTTACGTTTTTAAAATACTGCGCAACTTTATTTGTTACTATATTCACAAATTAAGTTGTTCGCATACTCATTAAATTTTATAGTTGTGAAATATTGTACATGCTCAATATGGCAATATTGCTGCAATATATCCTGTTGTTAAGATATAATTTACACTATAAAATAACGCTAGATATTTTTAAAAAAACATTGAGTAAATCAAATTGTGTTATCATAATGTAGTAACTTTGATATATATTAATCAACGTAATTATAATAGTCAAATTTTTCTTATATAACACTAAATAATTATCATTTAAAAATTTACTCCCACTTTTCTTTATAATACACATACATTAATATTAAAACACATATATATGTACGTTTATGAAGATAATTATTTAAAACATCTATTTATCAAATGTATGGTATGTATGGGCGCTACTACTTTTATTCAGAGAGGTATTCTACCTTATATCTAACTTAGTCTGCTACTGGTGAGTGAGTAGGAGTTGGCCCAAGGTTTGTGAATCGCAAAGGAGGCTAGAAATGTAGGCGACACTTTCCAATATATGTTTAGAACGTTATATTTACAGACTATTTACAAGTGTTTGCGTGTAAGTGTTTTTGACTAATTTGCCTTGTATTCTGTCTCTGCCATAATCTGTACCGCGACGAGGGACGCCAGGATCGGGTGGTCACACGTGGTTGGTCGTGTGTAGCAGTCCGTGTGAGACCTGAAACAAAGAGCTGGGCGACCAAGCGCCATAGGTTGGCGGGCGTCTCGCGCCTGTGCCAGGCGACCAAGCGCCGTAAGGATCGGCAAGCGTTTTGCGCTGTAGCCGGGCGACTCGCGTCGTGAGATATCGGCAAGCGTCTTGCGCTGTAGCCGGGCGACTCGCGCCGTGAGATTTCGGTCAGCGTCTTGCGCTGTGAACCGGGCGACTCGCGCCGTGGTATTGGCCATGATGTAAAAAGAAAGGTGTTTCATTGCGCATAATGGCGGCCAAATACGGAGCACCCAATCAAATTCACTCCCCAAATGTAGCGCGAAATTCTAATGCAGTATTGGAAAAAATGTAAAGAAAAGTTGTAAATGTAAAAAAAATACAAACAAAATTAAAAATTTTTAAAGTAATAAAAGACTACGTAAATAAAAATACGTGATATAATTTGAAATGATAAAATCATTAACCTAGATTGATTAGGCCGGTTCTACAATCAGTCGTATGTCGTAGGCAGCGGTCCACTTGACGCTACAAATGCTTTGGAGCGTTCTTCTTCTCCTTCTTTCTTCATTGAAAGAAAAGAGAAGAGGAATGCTTCGAAGCATTTGTAGCATCAAGTGGACCGCAGCCGTAGTCGGATGTCGGAACGCAGCCGACGAAATAAGAATTTCTTTTTCGAAAACAAATTTTCTTCATTGAACCATTAGTTACGTTATAAAATGCTGTTATTGATACAATGGCCGTTGCAATGCCTTATTAATATAAACCTATGATAATATTAAATATAAGATCGGACTATGTAGACCGCTCTAAGTTTTAGAAGCCGTGCTATTCATAAAAAATAAGTATGTAAAAGTAAGTATATAGATGTTAGTATATAATATAATAATAACAAATAAATAAATGCATTTATATTTTATAACGTTATTTTATTTTTATCAACATTTTCTTTATTAGACAGTTTATATATTTTTTTTTATTTTTTCTTACGTATGTTATTTTCTACTATCTCTTTGTTAAGTTTTCTCAGTCTTATATAAGTTCTCGTGCGAACTAAACACGCAATAACTTCCTTAGGAAAAATATTATTTGTTTTTATTGATACAATGTCAGTTAATTTTTCAAAGATCTTATTTTCAGTGCTAAAAGAATCACCATGGAATTTTACAAATTCTGTATCCATGACTTCAGCTGCTTTTAAGAAGTCTGCGGATGGATACATGCAGTTTCCTCTTGATATTGTACAAAGCCAATCATTAGGTGGATTGGGTAAAGACTTTGTTGAAATTCCTAAGTTAGTATAGCGATTTCGGAATCTATGAGCTACATAACCGGTTATATATAAAAGTGCATTCTTTTCTACTATCTCTTGATTAGTGATTTGTTCAAAATCTTCAAGTAATTGTATTTCATGACAACTAGGCTCATAATTACTTAAATTTTGCACTAGAAAAATGAATAATTGGTACATTGATAATATATCTCAATTTTATCAGTAATTTCGCTATTTATCATTAACTTTATACATAGATGTATAAAGTTAAGGACAACTATATACATGAACATAATGAGACCGGCGGCGAATCTTTTTTAATACAATACAATGATTAATATAATACGATGGGAAGTTACACAAGTATTTACAAAAAAGTTTCAATTTTTTTCATACCTTCTCCAGTTTCTTCTGGTATGTTATGATTATATATTTCCTCCCTAATTGTCGTATCGACATTTTGTCCGACTTGTGGGGTATTACTAAGTAATATATCTTCTTCTTCATCAGACAATCGGTCTGCTGGATAAACAGAATCTGGACTATGTACATCACTTATAGTAATTAACGATTCACAACTACCATCTCCTTCAGTATTTTTTCGTACAGAAAATACATGTTCTGAGTGTTTTCCAAGGATATACCATTTCAAACGATTTTTTACTTCTACGGGTGTGGGATGATCATATCCACTTCCCATGGATCTTATGTAGGAAAAGAAGTTTTCTAGAATGTCCTGATTTAATCTTCTCGTTAACACATATTTTACGTCAAACATTTCAGATGAGTACTTCTCTTGTAAATGTGCAAACATTTCTTGCAGCGATCTGTTACATAATAAAATTCCTTTCTGGAATTGCAATAAACTCTTTCTTTGCCCAACTCGCATTTCCATCATAAATTCGTTCATATTACTAATAATCTTATTTTGTTCTTCTACGTTAATGCCATAGGCATTTGATACGCCACATTTGTCATATTTAAATTTGCTGTTGAAGACATCAAACCAATCATTGAAAAGTTTTAATATCTCGGATGTATGTTTCCATTGTGTATTGCCAAGAAGACCATTTTCTCCACACCATTTAATGGCTAGTGCATTTTTATTTGAGAAAACTTGAGCTGCTAGTTTCACGTTTTGTCGTTGCGTGCCTCTCGCATCAAGATGTAGTGTACTTAATTTGTGACATATTTTCAAATCACCATTATTCAACGTTAGTAGTTGTTCTAAACATGTTTTGTCCACAAAGTTTTCTTTAATTTTAAATCCAGAATCTAGCAAATTGTTTCTTGCTAATTTCAAAAGGTGCGGAACGTTTGCATAAAAAAATATTTTTAGGGAGTTGTTTGCGGGATGCGTAATGAAACATTGTTTCTCGATATTTGTTGTGATTTTATCCCTGGAATGACTATAATCTTCAACTCCGATATTACAATCTTTCCACAACTTCATATTGCTTGAACCCATATCGCACGTAACAGCAATAACAGTGTAATCTATTTTATATAGCTCTTGTATGACAGTAAATAAAATATCACGGGACATTGATACATCAAAATTATAATAAACTGGTTGCCTCCAATTCTTGAATAAACCTCGAGCCATGATAAACAGACAAGTCTTATGAGGCCCATAAACTTTTTGTTGCTTTCTGTCAATGTCTAACTTATTTGAAATATATACATCGTCGAATGTTAAAACAGTTATTTTCTCTACTGTTGAAAGATTGTGTCTTTTACTTGACATAATGTTTAGAACCTCATTTAAAATCCCAGGTAAAACTGTAAACTTAGCTACCCAATTGTGCAAAGTTGTTAGACACGGCAATGGTACCTTTTTAACATTCCTTAAATATTTATATGCTTTTGGACTTAACGAGCGTAAAGAAATGGCAGACATGATGTCTTCATGCGACCAATGTACGCGGTTTTGTGTCGACATTAATATTGAAATTTGACCTGGTGTAAATACTTTACTCAAAGCATTGGTTGCTATTGCTTCGGCTTCTTTCTGTTTATTCTTCATTATTTTTGTAACTTCAGCTTGCAACTGTGATATTTGTTTATTTAATTGTTCGTTTTTTTGTTCAAGATCTTGATTTTCTTCAAGTAATTGTTGTTTTTCTTCAAATAATTGTTGCTTTTCTTCCTCACTGTTTCGAAGCTGCATTACTAATGTTTCCATTGAACTCGCATTGTTGTCCATGTTAATCTCTTCATTTCTGTAAAATACAAAACATTTTTATATAAAATGTATATACATATAAATGTATTAAGTATAATAGGGAAAAACTTATAATAAAGATGTATAGGTACGTACATATCTAGTTCTATTGTATCATTTTGTTCGATATTTTCAAGATATTCCCGTGTCATATTTTGTGTTTCTTCTTCAACATTTATATTGTCTTTTTCAATATTTTGATTTTGATTTTCTTCAAATAATTGTTGCTTGTCTATCTCCGAGTTCCGAAGCTCTATCAGTAATGTTTTCGTTGAACTATTGTTGCTAATCTCTTTATTTCTGTAACATACAAAACATTTTTATATAAATTATAGTGCTTGTGTGTGTGTGTGTGTGTGTGTGTGTATACATATGTATATAGAGAAAGCTTATAAAGATATACAGCTACATACATGTCTAGTTCCTGTTTCTCTTTTGCATACTGCACAAGTTCTGCATACGTAGGTATACCAGTTTTTATTCTGGAAAAATATGAAAAAATTACTTTTTATTTACATACATACATGTATAAATATTAATATATTAAAAAATGTAGAAAATACTTACAATACGTTATTTCTTTTTATCTTTTTATTATTTTCGTTATCTTTTTCATTTTGCGACATTCTTTTTCTTTTTATTCCTGCACATAGTTTTAACATTTTACATGGGACAGAACCTTTTTTTAATCGTCGTACTTCTTTGGCAAGTGTATTTTTTGACCTCGGTTTTGTGAATTCCATTATGAAACAATTTGTATCAAAATGGTCACTGCATATTCTTGCTAAAATTGTATCATAATATACTTATTACAATATGTATAGTTTACACAGGGTGTTAAAAAAAAAGTTAAAATATTTTAAGGAAATTTACCCAGGTAGCAAGCACTCGTCATTTTGACGTCAATTGACGTCAAAAATCCGTCATTTTGACGTCAAAATGACGAGTGCTTGCTACCTGGATAGTATGTCCAAAAACAAATCAAAGTCTTATCAAACATGAGTTCATAAATGATAATATATTTAGGATAATAAGGGGAAATACATTTATTACAGCAACTTACCTGAATCAACTTTCATACTTGTCTCAGTTTGTTGACAAGCATTAAGCCATTGCTTACGAATTGGAATTTCTTTCGGAAATCTAAAAAAGGTTATTCCTCTTGCATCTCCGTCGCATGTTCGATTTTTGCAATTTTTTATGGAACACGATGGCATTGTTTCTGTAAACAAAATATAATATGTAGCTTACTAATAATAAGTTGGCACATTTAAAGATGGCCAGGACAAACCTCTTATCGTAGTAGCCGTAGATTCGTTGGGCCCAAGAAACTGCGCGGTAAACTGGTGTACGATGGTTTGTCTAGAGACTTGGATTTTTCCTTATTGGTCCAATCATAAGCTGACCGTTCCTCGTAGAAGCTCTTCTTCACAAACAGATAAGAAAATTTCCAATGTGTTGCTTACATTCTCATCAAAGTTACAATATTATGACGATAAAATGTCTTTCAAAGAAATTTTTTATATAATTCATTACATGCACTAATAAAACAAGGACATTTATATTTATGAATATTATTATTAACTCTAATGATAAATACCTTCTTATCGAATGTTAGATCTAAATTAGCCAAAGAAGCAAGGTTATGCGATGCATTTACATTTGACGGTAATGATCCACCTTCTCTCTGTCTAGCAGAGACACTGAGTCTTGTGTATTTTTTATTCTTTCTCCTACTACTTCCGTAAGTATGACACGAACTAAACGTCAGATAAGCAAAACTACTATTGAATTCCGAAGCTATAGGCTGCGCTAAATTCTGCAATGATCCGCCATGTGTCAAACGCTCGGACACAGACTCCCGTTTATGCCTCCTGCGATTTGAACCCGGAAGACAGCGTGAATTAGATATCACTCTACGGCCTTCCTCAGTCTTGTCCGCTTCTGCCTCTTGCAAAAGTTCCTACAAAGCACACATATCAATCTATACATCTTAACACAATAGCATTTTTATGTTCAATACATAATATTTCAAAGCCCGTACGTACTTTAAAAAGATTAGACTTTCCTTCCCGATCTTTCGGACATTTGTATGTTATAGCTTCATCCAGTAAAACCCGTAACTCATTATCATTTAGCATAGACAGAAAGGAAGGCTGAAGGCACATGCGGCGGCTAACAATCTAGTTTCTGTAAACAAAATATAGTATGTAGCTTATTAATAATAACTTGGCACATTTCAAGATGGTCAAGACAAACCTCTTATCGTAGTAGCCGTAGATTCGTTGGGCCCAAGAAACTACGCGGATCACTTCCCCTTGTGGCCGAAGGCACGGTGGAGCCAGGCGCGTTTCAAAAGTTGGGCACACTCTGGGTATCTCAACGACAACCAATTGCGAACTATTGGTGGAGGACGGTTTGTGGAGGACGGTTCTCTGGCCGGCTTGCCGAATTTGAGGCATCTGATACTGCGCGACAACGCCTTCGTCACGTTCTCGGAGTCGTTGGATCGCCGGTTGGATCTAAGCGAGAATCCGCTCATGCGGCGGCTAACAATCTAACCTCTTACATATCACGGAAGTAGCCATGTTGCTTTTTACATTTGGGGAGGCTTTTTGATTGGTCAGAAGGCAGCCATTATTTTAGACCACTGCGCATCTCGGGAATGAAACACATTTCTTTTTACATCAAGGTATTGGCTAGCGTCTTGCGCTGTAGCCGGGCGACTCGCGCCGTGAGGTCTCGGTCAGCGTCTTGCGCTGTGAACCGGGCGACTCGCGCCGTATAGGGTTATCGGTGTGCGTCTAGCGCTACAACCGGGCGACTCGCGCCGTGTGTTAGCCTAGCGTCTAGCGCTATTGCTACCTTGGCGACTAGCGCCGGGAAGATCTGCTCGAGCTCGTAGGGGGTCCCCCTTTATACTCGTCGGTGCAGAAATTAGAACTCGCGAAGCTGCCCCGGCGATGCGACGCCTAGCGGCGTTGCTGCGAACTGCCGGTATTGCAGGCATCGCGCAGGGATGTATTACTGGTGGCGTGGACCGCCACATCACCCCCTTCGTTGTTTTGAAGTCGGGATTTGAAAACGTACTGTTTTTCGTGACACTCTGCCACTCCGCGTTGTAGTTTTCTTAGGTGGAATGTCTGTTGGAGTATCCTGTGCTGGCTGATGTGTCTCCCGAGGTTTGTCGCTTGATTCTTGATCTGCCAATATGTAGGCAGGCTTAAGGCGGTCGATAGTTACGTGGACGGTTTTGCCGTTAATCCGTAACTTGTAAACCTTCTCGCCTTTGCTAAGGACTTCGTAAGGGCCGTCAAAAGTGGGTTGTAGCGCCCGCGTTGGTGCGTCGTGCCTGAGGAACACGTGTGTTGCGTCTGTCAGGTCTCTGTGCTGGAAGATAGCAGGCGAACCGTGCCTTTTGATTGGCTGTGGCCGTAGACTTTCCATTGTCTTTCTGAGCCTTAGTAAGAAGTCGCTCGTTTCGTTCGGTTGTGTAGTTTCTTGTAGAAACTCTCCTGGAAGTCTCATAGTTTCTCCGTACACAAGTTCTGCCGGAGTTGCGTGGAGATCTTCCTTAACTGCTGCTCAGATGCCCATCATGACAACGGGTAATACTTCCGTCCAAGCTTTGGTTTCGTGGCATTTGATGGCCGTTTTAATTTGACGGTGCAAACGTTCGACCATGCCGTTAGCTGCGGGGTGATAGGCTGTTGTATGTATGTGCGTGGTGCCTGTTAGCCTAGTAAGCTGACAAAACAGGTCGGCCTCAAATTGCCTTCCCTGATCCGTAGTGACCCGCGTAGGTGTACCAAATCTTGCGATCCAGTGATTGAAGAGATTCTGGGCTACTGTCTCTGCGGATATATCTGCCACCGGTATAGCTTCAGGCCATTTGGTAAACCGGTCAATGATTGTGAGGCAGTATCTGAAACCTTTCGAGATAGGTAGAGGCCCAACGAGGTCCATGTGTAATATGTTCGAACCGTTTGGTAGGGCCAATGAATTGTCCTAAAGGCGATTTGTTGTGCCTGTGGACTTTTGCTTTTTGGCACGCGGGACATGCTCTAGCCCATTCTTGGCAGTCGGCCTTAATGCGTGGCCAGACATACCTCTGTGCGACTATCTTTGCCGTCGCTCTGGTTCCTGGATGCGATAGACTGTGCAGTGATTGAAACACTTGTCTCCTGTACTCTTTTGTAACGAAGGGACGTGCTATTGCTGTTGATGTGTCACAATACAATGCTGCGCTGGTTCCAGGGATTGATACCTTTGTCAATCTCAGTGAAGAGTTCCCTTTTAAGATGTCTTCCACCTCGGTATCCTCCTCTTGAGCTTGTGATAGTTTCTCTAGGTTGATTGCGGACTGAATCTCCTCTACTCGTGAGAGAGTATCAGCGACTATGTTGTCTTTACCCGCGATATGACGTATATCGGTTGTAAACTGCCCGATGTATTGTAAATGTCGTGCCTGCCTAGGAAAGCTGTGGAGTGGATCTTGTCGAAAGGCGTATGTGATCGGCTTGTGATCGGTGAACACCGTGAAGATCCTTCCTTCCAGCATGTGCCGGTAGTGCTTAATAGCGGCGTAGATCGCTAGAAGCTCTCTATCGTAGGGGCTATACTTTTGCTGGGCCGGATTCAGCTTTTTACTGAAGAAGGCTAATGGTTGCCACTCTGTTCCGTCCCGTTGTTGTATGACTGCTCCGATAGCTGTATCGGAAGCGTCGGTTGTAAGAGTGACGTCTGCCTCTGGCTTTGGGTGTGCCAGCTGAGTTGCGCGAGACAGACTGTTCTTACAGTTTGCGAAGGCTGCTTCCAGTTCTGCGTTCCATGTTATGGGAGCCTTCTTTTTGGTTTTGGTACCGCTGAGTAAGCCGTTTAAAATTGACTGGTCCTTAGCGGCCTTTGGAATAAATCTGCGATAAAAATTGAGAGTCCCCAGGAACCGCCGAAGCTGTTGAATGTTCTCAGGTTTGGGAAACTCCTTGATTGCTGCTATTCTTTCTGGCGGAGGTTGAGTACCGTTCTCTGAAACCTCGTAACCAAGAAAAAGAACTTTTGGCCTTCCGAAAACGCATTTGGAAGGGTTGAGTAGAATGCCGTATTTCTGGAGTCGTTCGAAGAGTATGCGTAAATGCTTCTTGTGTTGTTCCTCGTTTTCTGATGCGATGAGGATGTCGTCAATATACGCATAGGCAAAATCCAAGTCGCTTGTAATTTCGTGAATGAAGCGTTGGAAGGTTTGTGCGGCATTGCGTAGCCCGAACGGCATATAAAGGTATTCGAAGAGTCCAAAAGGAGTTGTTATAGCCGTTTTTGGAATATCCTCCGGGTTGACGGGTATTTGATTGTATGCTCGCACTAAATCAATTGTCGAGAAGATCTTCTTTCCGTGCAAGTTCTGCGAGAAGTCTTCGATATGCGGGATCGGGTACTGATCCGGCTCTGTTCTAGCGTTAACTCCCCTGTAATCTCCGCAAGATCTCCAGGAGTCGCTTTTCTTCGGCACCATATGTAGTGGTGATGACCATGGGCTTTTCGACACTCGAATGATCCCTTCTTGGAGTAAGAGATCGAATTCAGCCTTGGCCGCCTTGAGTTTGTCGGGGGCTAACCGGCGAGGACGGCTTGCAACTGGTGGGCCATCCGTGGTTTTGATGTGGTGGAGCGTGCTATGTTTTACCGTATGCCTCTTAGCAGTAGCCTTTAAGATATCAGGAAATTCTGCCAAGATTCTGTAGTGGTATTCGTCTTCAATAGCCAACACTCTGATAGACTCCACTGCCCCTTTTTCTGATGTGCCGCGTTTGCGCAAGTATGTTTTACCATCGAGCAGAGTGCCTTTCTGTAGGTCTGGCAGGATATGGTAATAAGCAAGGAAGTCGGCTCCGATGATGGGCTGCGTGACGTTGGCGATAATGAAACGCCATGGGAATGCGCGTCGTAACCCAATTTCCGGCTGCAGTGTAATTGTGCCGTACGTAGTGATTATTGAGCCGTTTGCTGCATAGAGTTCATAAGATGTTGGCGTGGTGTGTCCTGCTACCATGAAGCGAGGGTATACACTCACATCCGATCCTGTGTCTATCAGGAACCGTCTCTTAGTGTCATGGCACGTAACGATTAGGCGGCGCGGGCTTGGGGCGTGTCTACTGGCCGCCATCAGTGACTGCCCTGGTCTTTTTCCGATTTATATGTACATGGTTGTGTGCACTTTCTTGCTTTCTCACCAAATCGATTATAGTAATAGCAGTGCTTGTTATTCTTATCGTCCTTATCCTCTGTGTTTTTACCGCGGTTGCGGCTCTGACTACGGCTTCGACTTCGATTACGGCCTTTCCAATTGTTACGTTGCCTCGAGTTGTCTCTCGAGAGGCGTGTAGTAAGTGTGGCCACTTGCTTGGTCAGAGTCTGGATTCTTGCTTCCAAAGACTCTTTATTCGCTGGCGTAGCTGTTGCAGCTACTACAGCCTTGCTTGTCATCTCGTGAATGCGATCGGCCTGTTCGGCTACGCTGTTGAGCGGATCTTCCGTCCGGGTAGCGAGAACCATCTGCATTTGCGTAGGAAGTCGTCCTAGCCATAGTGTCCGTAGAAGAGAGTCGGGTACATTCTCACCCGCTAGAGTTCGGAGATGTCGTAAGAATTGAGATGGCTTGCGATCTCCTAATTCCTCGAGCTCCAAGAGCTGTCGTGTCCGCTGCTGCTGCGAGACGGACATGCGCTGTATGAGCGCTCTTTTTACAGTCTCGTATTTGTTAACCTCTGGGGGCTGTGTGACCACGTCTTTAATTTCCTTGATTTGACGAGAGTCTAACTGAGACAGAGCGTATGAGTATTTCGTCGAGTCTTGGGTGATGCCACTGATGGTGAACTGCGTTTCCAGCTGTGCGAACCATAGCTCAGGCTCATCTCCCCAAAACGGAGGTATGCGTACGGCGAGTCTGCTGACGCTTTCCTCGACGATCTGTATTGATGCGTTGGGATCGTTCATGTTGCTACCTCTCTTTGCGATCACGTCGGGGTCACCAATTTTATGGGCGCTACTACTTTTATTCAGAGAGGTATTCTACCTTATATCTAACTTAGTCTGCTACTGGTGAGTGAGTAGGAGTTGGCCCAAGGTTTGTGAATCGCAAAGGAGGCTAGAAATGTAGGCGACACTTTCCAATATATGTTTAGAACGTTATATTTACAGACTATTTACAAGTGTTTGCGTGTAAGTGTTTTTGACTAATTTGCCTTGTATTCTGTCTCTGCCATAATCTGTACCGCGACGAGGGACGCCAGGATCGGGTGGTCACACGTGGTTGGTCGTGTGTAGCAGTCCGTGTGAGACCTGAAACAAAGAGCTGGGCGACCAAGCGCCATAGGTTGGCGGGCGTCTCGCGCCTGTGCCAGGCGACCAAGCGCCGTAAGGATCGGCAAGCGTTTTGCGCTGTAGCCGGGCGACTCGCGTCGTGAGATATCGGCAAGCATCTTGCGCTGTAGCCGGGCGACTCGCGCCGTGAGATTTCGGTCAGCGTCTTGCGCTGTGAACCGGGCGACTCGCGCCGTGGTATTGGCTAGCGTCTTGCGCTGTAGCCGGGCGACTCGCGCCGTGAGGTCTCGGTCAGCGTCTTGCGCTGTGAACCGGGCGACTCGCGCCGTAGGGTTATCGGTGTGCGTC